GTTTGATGGAATAAATAGAAGACCGTGTAAGCTTTTGATTGTTTTCTGCCCAGCTGTGATATCCTCGAAAATCGAAATGGATCGTCCAGCAGATTTTTTAGTGGTGACTTAATGCCCGTCTACGTTACAAATTCCCTTCTTTTGCGAGCGAATGACTTCGCTCGTGGAACCTGGGCAAGAGTTTTGGAGGTTGGGTACAAGTTAACATGGCGAACGCTGCTGGGGTTGATCTTGTTTCGGGACATTCATTCTTGTCTTTAAACGAAGGCCTGGCGAACCATTTGGCCGACGGTGGTTTTCAAGCTATGGATGATTTGTCGGCTCAAATGTTTCCTTCTGTTCTGGGTGCGATAAATAACTGTCTGTACAAGCCTTTGAGAAGACATCCATTGTATGAGGAAGTGGAATTTATTTGGAGCGGAAGTACGGCGGAGGGTGTGAATATTCCGAATTTCGAACACGGTGGCGATGGAAAACCCCATCTTGAGTTTGAGATGGATATTTTATGCGTTTTTCGGGATATAAAAGTTGGAAGATCGGCTGACAGCCCCGCCATATTGATGAAACAAGAAGATACTAGCGAAGGATACTTTGTTGTGTTTTTGAATGATCAAAGCTATAGACAGCGATGGTGTGATTACAGTATCGTCCCAAACGATCCAAAGCGAAAAGGCGAAATGTACTTAAATCCGTTACTCCTCGTGGAAGACCTTTATAGACAAATTGAGCACATCTTTGCACAAATTCCATTGTTAAAGGAGCGATTTAAACTAGAATTCAACCCACCAGCTGTCACTCTGTCAATGTCGTTGGATTTTCAAGAAATTACAATCAGCTGTGACATAGTGGTAGCACTGGAGTTGCCTTGTGATTGTCTACCAAAGGAATATCCATCTTGGATCAAAGTGCATGGTCGGCCAGCATGGCTCAGTGAAAAATCCTTCGAAGAAGTGCAACTAAAACCTCTTCATCTTGTTGGAAAATGTTCACCGAACGGGCAACCAAAGGTTGAATGGAGATTATCTTTCAGTGTTGTAGAACTTTTCCTTATGAAGGAATTGGGATTGCAGTGTCCGGCTGCTATATCCTGCTACAGGGTGTTTAAAATAGTACGGTTTTTGCATCTAAAGCACCCTGATATTCTTCATTCATATCACTTGAAGATGTTGTTTTTCCAAGCTTGTCACAAGCTTCCACTCAGTACTTGGGCAGATTCCAATCTTGCCACTGACCTGCTAGGACTACTGGATAATTTGATGCATTGCTTTATAATGCAGTCACTTCCAAGTTATTTCATCCCTGGCTATAACTTGATTGAAGGAGTCCATCGTGACTTTTTATTTACTTTATTGCAAAAAGTGAGTAAAGTAAGGAAAAACCCCATTGAGAGTATTACTAATTTAAAAAAGTGAAACAAAAGGGCAATGCTATGCTTTGTACTCTTGGCTAATGTAGTGTCCCCATTTGTATATTTTCCACCCTCGTGTATAAATGGTAGAGTAGAAGTTTTCATGTTATGGCTGCCATTTTGGACATTGGTCAAGGATGGTGTGAATGCAGTGTATGTATAGGGATCCAATGCAAATTTTCAACCCTATTTTGTGCAGGAATAGTGGTAGGGATGATGGGGGAAGGGCAGCTCAAAGTGCCCTCTCTTACTGTTTGAACACTCATACTCCTTTTTCACATAGTTTTCTCAGAAAAGCAGCAAAGTCACTGCTTGTCCACCATTTTGATTTGTATGCAAAATGTGGTCAAGTACAATATTCTTGGTGAATATGTTCAAATGTGTGTTACAATTCAGTGACTACAAGACAGAAGAAGTGTTGGGACTTGTTATCTTCAAAGTTTGAAGCATTTCAAAGTTCGTACAACAACAACCAACATGGCAGCAAACATGTCTGGTCCACTAGTGTTGGTTCTTGTTGGCCAACAATGTTAGGAGCATTTCACAGGCATGTACAGTGTCAGCTATGGCAGAGGAGAGGAGAGGGGCTCTCAAAAGAACACATGGTGCTAA